AAAGTATTCCTTCCACCTCCGGGTGATGTCCCCAGTTGAGGTCAACAGCACCCCCCACTATAAATAGTAGGAACCAGAAGCTGCTTCCCGCTCCTGATACTCCGGATGGTTTGCCAGAACCTTTTTGAGGCCTACCGAAAGTGCGAAGCGGCGGGGATGAGGATTAGCACCTCCAAGCCCGAGACCTTGGTTCTCAGCCGGAAACGGGTGGTTTGCCCTCTTCGGGTTGGGGAAGACGTACTGCCTCAAGTGGAGGAGTTTAAAACCATCTTATTAAAATAAACTCAATGGAATTTCAAGGAGTGCTACAATGCTAAACTGATAAACCACTAAAAAAACATAATAGAAGCTAACAATAACCATTAAATGCTTACTTTTAATAAAAGAATGTAGCTTCAGCTTGGTTATTGGCTCTGAATCCCCATCTGAAGCCTCTGAAGTCCCATCTGTCGGACTACAGTGAATACCGGGGGATATTTCGGTTGCCCAATTGGGTATGGTTTGATTCTGTAAAGTCTCCAAAATAAATCTGCACTGAAACTTTTTTCCTATGATATTCCGATACAACACTTTTTGTCAGAGAAGACCTATTTCACAACTTGTTTATGCTGATGTCGCTTGGGGACTACAAACATAGTGCCATTTACCCAGAACTAGGAAGGAGCGTCTCATCTCTTTTATTTGTCTATAGCTCTGTCAATCAGAACCCAGAAAACACAACCAGGGGCCTGTACATGTATCACGTAGCAGAATTTCTTGCTCAGCCAGATAACATGTCAGATTTAAGGTAGTCTGGTCTACATGTAAGAGAACAAAGATAAAGTCCATTAAAACTTCATGTTCTTTGCTTAGTTCAGGGCACCCCAGTTTAAATGAACTTTATATTCATTCACTTACATTTAGCCCAGACTACCTTAAATCCAAGTCATCGATCAATCATGTCTTGTGTTTACAAATATCAACAGCGACAAAACAGACATCAAAAATATGCATGATTTCAGGGTTTACAAACATTTTTTGTCCATTGAACTTTATTCACTTTACCTGCAAAAATATGTTAGCTGATTTACAGTTAGCGGAACAAAATATAGTGAAACTTCATTGGTCCGCTAAGGGTTTTCAAAGTTAGTGGAAATGCTAATCCAGTAACTAAAAAGTTATCTTCACTACTGAGTGATTAGCAGATTAGCAAAACCCTGCCCACCACAGGTTCTCTTAGACCACTGAGTGCCTTATTTGTAGGTAGGAGAACTTTGAAGTCAGTCCTGAAAATAACAGGAAGCCAGTGCCAGGAACTAAGAGTAGGGGTCATGTGTTCAAACTTGTTGCTCCTGGTGACAACTTGAACTGCTGCATTTTCAATACACTGCCCAGTGTTTAATGTGTGGGTTTGCTCTCAGATAATACAGCATTACAGTGTAACCTACTGTAAACCAAAGCATGAGATTTTCAGTGTGAATAGTAAGAAAATGAATGTTATTTAACTATAGGAGGCATTCCATTGATGTTGGATCTGCATGTGATTTGACCAAAAGGCTCAAATGATGCCTATGTTACGGGCTGAGCTGCTCAGGGAGAAGTTCAGCCCCTCTGAGCGAAGTACAGAAATTACAGCAGGCCTTTCCTTGGACTTTGAATGAGAGGCTCACATCTAATGTGATGCCTAAGTTATAGGCTGAGCTGCTGAGGGAGAAGTTCAGCCCCTCTGAGTGGAGTGCAGAGATTATAGTAGGCCTATCCTCTGACTCGCCAAATAACAAAACCACAGTTTTTACTACATTTCATGATCAAAGTTTCAGTCGTCCAAGTCTGAACTTCATTAATTCAAATAACTGGAGTAATAGGCGGAACACGCCATATATGGGGCTTGGTTATATTGTTGTAGGCAGTCAGACCATGGCAGCTTACACACCTCTAACCCTGTAGATTTCCATTTCTGTTCTAATCTGCGGCACTCCTGTGTGTCACAATGTGTGTGATCATTAAACCATGGGGGATGTTTGGTGATTTCGACGATTTCATTTTTGAAAGGCTCCTTTTCATCCACAACCTGACTAACCACTGTATTAACATTGTGAATATTTGTACTAGACATGAAGTTCACATTACTTACTGCATTACTAAATTGTAGGAAATTTCTACCAGTTAGGTAACGTGTCATAATAATCTTCTCTGTCACAGTCAAAGTGGGTGACTGAATCACGAAGGTGATTAAAAAATGATCAGAGGAGGACTTATTCAATGGACAAACAGATACATGATAAACATAAACTTACCCAAGTCTAGTGTATGATTATGCACATGCCTTGGTGTCGTTACATGCTAACATGCATGTGAAAGACAGGGAACTTTTGCTGAAACAATCAGTCTCTATCTCCACGTGTATTGAAATCTCCATGTATTATAATAATCTTTAAGTACAGAAATTAGTTCTCCAAATTCAGTCAGAGATGAAGTGCTTGGTCCAGGTGTTCTGTATATTATATGAATATAGATAGTCACACGCCATGTGGATTAGTATTGGTTTACATGCTGCAAAGTCTTCTATAATCTTGGGTTAAATTTTTCACAGTGAGTTAAAAATAACTACCAGCTTCCTCCACACCCAGAGCCACGTGGTTTCCGTACGAAACTAAACCCATCAGGTGAGGCTTCAACGAAAGGAACAGTGTCTGTGGGCCTGAACCAGGTTACTGTTAAAAAACACAGGTCTGCACCAGAGTCAATCACCACGTAATTGACAAGTAGTGATTTGTTTCCTAAAGAGTAAACGTTCAATAATGAGCATTCTAAGGTGGGTTTAAGTTGTGGCTCATTAAATCGCATCAGTGGGATTGATAAGTTATCCGCACAGGAGCCCCCAGTGGGCGGTTTAGGTCTAAATCTTGGTCTAATAATACTTACTACATTCATTTTAGGCTCAGTCCACTCAATTTCTAAATAGTCGGAAGATTTAGGAGATGCTGTGTTGTAGTGCACCTGAGTCAAAGCCAGACATGAGCTAAAAATGGGAGAATATTCAGCCTTCGATTTATGAATTTCAAGACTGAAATGGAATAGGACTGAGGCACGATTTCAAGACTGAAGCATGACTGGTGCTCTTAGAAGTCAGGAAGACAGCCTTTTTGCCATGATTTAGGATAGCATTAACAATCCCCTCCAATCAGGAAGGAGAGGTACCATTTATCATTAACGACTGTGCTTTGAGATGTAGAACAGGTCCCTAGTGCAGTGTTTGCCAATCCAGTCCCTGGGGATCCACATACAGTCCATGTTTTTGCTCCCTCTTAGCTCCCAGTGGACCAGACTGGGAAACACTGCTTCCAGTGCAATGTTTCCCGACCCAGTCCTCGGGAACCCTGGACCCTTCAAATCAGTTACACCGAATACCTAGTACAGGTGTGCTGAGAGGAAGCAAAAACACGGACTATCCGGGGTTCCCCGAGGACTGGGTTGGGAAACACTGCTCTAGTGTTTTAGGGAGAGTAGCCTACTATATGTTACATCTCCTCTGTAAAGAACTGGTAAGGGATCAAAGACAGTTAGTCTGACATCTTGCATACATAGAAATTAAGTTCCTCTTCAATACCTCAGATTGTCAGGAATGTGGTCATTTACCTCCTCCTAGTCCACAAAGCACTTGTACACTGTGGTGAACAGATATAATTGTTTTGGACCTTTTAATGATTTCTTCATAAAGGCTGAAATATTTTAGTGGACAGCAGAATATGCACCGATATTTTTTGATTAAACCATATATGTATGTTAAGTCCAAGTTCTGTATAATTCAGTGTATTCATATCCATTTATCCCCATTCGTGGTTCTCACACTTGAGGAATAATCACTCAGTTCGATTAGTAAAACACCTTTTGACCATCCACATGCAATAGTAGCCTCTATTTAAACCTATACTAGTACAAACCTAATATATATGAATTTTAAAGGATTTCTTTGCTTCCTATGCTGCATGGGAAAGTCTGAGATGCCAACATGCAGCATGGAGATTCCTCAAAAAGGAACATCTGGAGGTTCACAGCTTTCGATTAGCTTCCAAAAATGACAGAGTGTCACATGCCTTCATCACTACAGTCACAGTCTCAGCAAGGGGAGCGTGACAAAACAGGAACATCATTGTCATTAGACGGTAAGGAGTACAGGACCCTTTGTTAACTGGGGATGGCAAAAACTATAAGTAGCCTATTGAAATGGTAATCTATGCAAAGTAACAGAACGGTAAAAAAACAAAGACTACTATTTAAAGCAATTAACAAAGTAGCACAAAACTGGTTTATTCCAAACTTCAAGTGATCCACACGTATTGAGCAGGAAATGTTTTGAATGTAAACTGAAATATTTATTTCCTATTGTAACATCAGGTAATGGTACTCAATAAATCAAAGCTTAGTATAAAATCAGAAAAAAACTATATTTTTAATATTTGGTAATTCCCAATTAATAAAATTTTATCTTAGTGCAAAATAAATGAAAATCAAAGTTTCAGCATCGTTTTGTGAATCTATACCAGCAAATTAGCTTTAAAACAGGTTTCTGTAACAAAACTTCTACCAAGACATTAAGATTCAATCCACAGCCATGCATCACTGCCTTTTAGCTACCTCTGCTGTTCGTGGGATACAGAGATTGATGTTCTTTGGCTACACGGAAGTAAAAACCAGAGCATAAAACGCAAATGCCCAGACATAATTTCTACAGCTGTGCACTAGGGAAAACTAAACATCCTCTGTAAACTGTTGTGCCAGGATCCACGATTGCGGTGTCTTTGCTTAGCCATAAACTTTTAAAATAAACTCTATAACAAGTTCCTGAAGAATGCAGGCTGTGCTTTATAAGCTGATACATCCTCTCCAATAACAGAGAATAATGTCTTTTTAAACAGTTGCTATAAGGACTAAAATATGACGTGTAGAATTCAATAGTTAGTGCTGTTGCATCTTTTAAACCTAGAATAATTTCAATGTTCTATGGCGGTTTAAAAAAATGAACTTTTTTTCCAAATATAAAATCCATCATGTATACCGCTTTTTCCATATTTTGTATAATTATAGTACCTCTATGTAACGATACAGTACGAATAAAAAAAAATACTGTGAAGTTGTTTGAAGGTGTGTGTGCGTGTGTGAAAAATATTCAGGCTCATATCTCCAGCAGTTCAGCACATGTTATACATGGTTGTGTGATTAAAAAAATAATAATAATCAGGTAAAAAATAATAAATAAATAGACTTCTCTGCTTCTTACAACATTTCGTGTGAACCAGCTTGTATACAGTCAACAACATGGACAGGTACAGATTTGACAGGTTTCTCTATTTTTCACTGAGAGAAACAAGACTCAATGGGTGTAAAAGGAACAGAGAAGTCCCTTTACAATTTAAGCAATTGTTGCAAATACAATTATTAATTGATATATTAATGGGACAGTAATCAAATGTAACAGAGGTGAAGAACTGCTTCAGCCAAGTCTACCTGTCTTATTTCAACATTAAAACAAAGCTATACCATTTCTGGAGGATAAAGATTATTTTAGATTGGACAGATCATAGAATGTATTGAACTACATTTGTATATTCCAAGGGTTACATGAAGTAGAATACACTATTTGATAAACAGTCAGATTATGGTATACGTGTAGCTACCTTTTTTGGCAAATAAAAACACTGTTCTGAAGGTGGACCTGTCAGTCTGCCAAATTGTTTTGTATCGCAGAGCAGGTAGGACTTTTGTTATGGTGCTTTTCCACTGCCACCAAAAAACCAAGCCTTATCCGAGCTGAACCACGAAGAGACTATTTTCCATTACAAATTATCCGAGCCGTACCTAACCTGTACCCACTCGGACACAGCCCTGCGTACTATCAGGGCTGAAAGCATGACTAAACTGAGCAAGTTGTGTCACCACCACCTGATTGGTTGAAATGCATGGAGATACCGATTTTCGGGCATGTATTATCTGAAATAAAAAGGAGACATTCTATATTATTAATTTTTAGTAGTACCACACATCACAATGTATTGATGCATTCACTCTAATTTAGAAGTTGCAAATTTTACTATAGTGAATGCTATTTACAGTCTTAAGTTTCCTTTACTGTTGCTCGTCAAACCCGGCAACGCTTTTATCTTGCCGACCTTTCTGCAGTGGACAACTGAAGCAAGTTGGATCTGCGCTTTAACTAGTCTCTCTTCTCAATACGGCTCAGATACGGCCTGGTTCCTGTATGCCCCTGGAAAAGCACCATTAGTTTCACTTTCAGACTCAACAGTGACCAGCAACATACGTGACTCACAGCATTTCAATGTACTGAGAATTTATGCACGGGGAACTAGAGGCAGGAAGGCTTATCGCACACACATCTCCTTAAGCTAGCTGCTCCTTCGACATTCAGCGCGATTCATTGGAGAAATAAAAGGCCTTCTTTTAAATCGTACCCATAATCCAGAGAATGGGGAGTTGTTCATGCCCCTGTTCACTTTTGGCATGTTTGTTTACTTCAGATAATCTACACAGAACCAGCAACTAAAAATGTTAAGGATAAATATTTTGCCTTTTGATTTACACACTTGGATGGCACTGTGAGCAAAGGCTAATCTACGTTAGAGGCGAGTCCATAATTAACTTTGGCTTGTTTAGGTTATTCTATACAGCAGACAAACATACTCTATGGAAGTGTCCTAGGGCAATTTTTTTGTTCTTAAATAAATTTTATTTCTTTGTGAAGGACCGGGAGAAAAAAAACAATAATCATAACTTATGTACAATTCTTGTAAGAGTTGCCTTAAAAATGTTATGAGAGGCCTAGAAACGGGATACTGCTACTCTGAGCTTTTTCTTAAATGAACCCAAAACAATGTGTCCACCATCATCCATTTAGTTTTCTTCTATTTCTTTCTTCAGCTTCAAATCAAAGTTCTTCGGCTTTCCTCATAACGCGTCTTTCCTTCGACTTCTCCTTTGATCCTGTGTGGTCGGTATCCCAGTTCTTCATTGTCAAGAGAGGAGGCACATTTAAAAATACTGCCATTTCCCGAGGACTGTGTCTTTGATTGCATCAACAAACTGTGCAGGCACCCAATACACCCAGTACTGAGAGGCTTCTGTGGGACCCAACTGAAATGCCTAGGAAGGAGATCAGACAATGTCAGTGCTCACAGCTTAAACCACAACCCTCAACTCTGAAGGAATTACTCAATTTTAGGCCCATTAGTCTTTTATTTACAACATATGCAGTCAACAGTGTTGGACTCAGGAGCAAAACGCCAAAGATTTGAACGGTTCACATACATCACTAGAACGAACTCAACAACTAGCTAAAGCAAGAAATTCCACTAAGGTCAGGTCAGGTCAGGTCAGGTCGGGGAACATGCACTGGTGCAGCATGTTGTCGCACCCACTGCATGACAAAATACCTCAGGCTCCCCCCCCCCAGCACTCACAGTACCTGTGTACAGGCCCAGCATGACATCCAGCAACTTTGAGGAGATTCTGAGAAGGTTTAGAATGTCCCACAGGGCAGCAGGATCGACTAAGTTGAATGCTTTTTGAAAATCGACAAAGGCCGCAAATAAACTGTGTCAATATTTGACCTCGCAGTGCCAGGATGCGGTTCATGGTAGACGTCTTAGATGTAACACCAGACTGCTACAGTCGCTGGCAGGCGAGCAAGTGATCACAGATCCTGTTGACAATGACCCTAGAAAGGACCTAACTCAGCATTGAGAGCAGTGTTATTCCCCTGTAGTTGCCACAATCCAGGCGATCACTTTCCCAGTCAGTTAGGATTACACCCGTCTCCCAAATGGAAGCAAAGATTGCACGCAATGCCAGAAGTTCACCTCAGATACCATAGATCCCTGCAGCCTTCCCAAGCCTCAGCAGATTCACCACCTGTGCAATCTCAGTGAGACTGGCCAGTTCACAGCTAATCGGAGGATCAGCCTCAAGAATCGTGGACCCAGAGATGTCCAACATCCTAGCTGGAGGATCAGCTTTAAACAGCTGCTCAAAGTAACTGGCCCAGTGGGTCACAATTGCAGTGTCATCCATAAGAACAGTTCCATCACCCAACCTGACTGTGATTCTCAGAGGAACATATTCAGATGTGCATAATGTTTCAATTCCTCTATGAGCAGGACATGGGTCACTAGACCATAGATAGTGTGTCACTTGCTCACGATTTCTCTACGGTGTGCGCTGTGACGGCGCTTAATAAACTGAATCGTCCGAGTAGCAACAACAAGTCTGTGCTCAGAAATCACAATCTGGGCACTCCTGTACTATACTCTGCAGTCCTACAGAAGTCTCCAGCATCTGCCCACAAGGATGTGCTCGACCTCCTTCACTGCATCACCAGTATTGGAGTACCAACTCCAATGATGCAGCTCTGGGTGCTGGAACCAGGATCCAGCGACCTGCAGGTCCAGACCTTTTGCAAAGTCAAGGAACATTCCAGTAGTCAAATTGAAGTCGCCCATGAGCAGAGAAGTGTCACCTTGTCAACAACGGAGCAAATAAAATGTCTTCCTCTTTGAGACTCCACTCACCGTGATAAGAGCATACACTGAGATAAGACAAGACAGCCAGAGAGTGCCTTAGCCTGAGCCTCATAATATGCTTGTTGAAAGGAGCGACATCAGACCCCATCGGGAGGAGCCAATCCGCCACAGCAATGGCTACTCCCTGAGTATAGCAACCATCAGGGTAGATGCAATAATAGATGCGCCCACCTACAGAGGTCTGGCCACTTCCCGGTCCGCATAACTCAGAGTGCCGCCACTGAAATATGAAGTTTGCAAAGCTCCTCCGACAGCAGAGGTCATCATGCAGGAGATACAAGTCACTCCACGCACCTGCCCAGATAGGACCCGAGTGCCGCCATGCAGCAGGCGATGCCTCAGCCCCACACCAGGCCCGATCACAAACAGGTCTGACCCCATTGGCTCTCCAGCAGTTTTGACTCCTCTGGGGATGAGCCTCCCTAGGGATTCCCCCATCCCCTTCATGATGCATGCAGCCTTCCTGTGGGCGGCTGTAGTAGAGCTACTCCCATGGAGAGCAGAAGAGTCCTGTCTGCTTTGTCGGAGCCGTGTGACGTTTTTATGATGGCCAAACCTGCCACCGAGCCACAAATTTTTTCCTGCAAGCTGGAGGACTGCTTGCAGGGCCGGATGCAGTTTAACACAGATTGATGCAGTTTAAAAAATAAGAAAATGTTTCTGTGAAATAAAATGAATGCACTGATCCCTCCTTTAAGTACAAAGTCTGTATCTGTATAAAGGATTTCCCACGGTTCAGGGTTGTCTGACACCTACCATCATGTGATAGTCCTCATGGCCTTCAATTGGCTCAGTAACCACATTCTTGATGGAGCCCATTGGAATCTTCTCTGTTCTCTCTACAGAAAGAAGGCAAGCAGAAGACAGCTGAGCAAGACCAGTTTACAGCTATTATCATTTATTCTATCAGACAGTGTCATGAGACACTAAAAAAACACCTATCTAATGTGTGAGCAAGTTTCTACCTAGTCTGACCTTCATCAGTCGAAGTGACAATCAGCTACAAAGGTTACCTCAAACCCTAACTTCTCTCTTTGCTTTGACCAACCACATCAACTGAGTGCTATTCACACCTGCTTAAATGTTCTGAATGTTCTCAAATAACTAAATAAGAAATTCTGAAGACCATTTTAGTCATCTTTACTGCAGATTTTAAAACTACAGAATTCTGTTTGCAAATGAGATTCCCATAGGGAAACTGTACTTTTCATGTATTCCATCTTGCTCTCTGTAAGACACAGACACATAACCAGTATTCCACCAACTGAGGTCATATTAACATACATTACTATTAATATTAATATACAGTCTCACTATGACCTCATGTGGTTATACATCTTATTAATCTTATACAAATTATACATCTGCTCATACCCAAGCATTGTTTTTCTCTTCTGAATACAGAAACAAACATTAAAAGTTGCTGTTGTCCTGTATGTCTCTCACAGAGTATGTAAAGTGAATACTTCCACAAATGAATTACTTTGAACTCACCACTGCTGAATTTAATTCATTCACATAATATCATCAAAATGATAACACCATGTGCATGAGACAACCTATAATGTATAAATATTAGCTCACCCTTATGGGCAAGGATGAGAATGAAACTTACAATAAGTGACTGTCTGCTGTTGAGCCTGTGAATAGTATAAACAGTTTTCAAAATGCCAGAGACTCCTGGCTTGCAACCAGCATGACGTATCAAGCTTTTAAAGTATGTTGGCTTTCAAAATTCAATCATGCGTGAACACTGTATCACTGGTTAATGCCCATGTATCACTGGTTAATAATCATAACAGATCTCACCCTTAGTTCCAATCCACAGCTGATCCTGTTCCAGTTTGAATGTGAGCCGCACTTTCCCGCCTGTTTTGTTATACATTCCTGATAAAGGCACTGTAGGTAAGCGCTCCTGTTAAGCAAAACCACCGATTACTGTCAAGTCATCCACTGGTCCATTGGAAAGAGTGAGAGAGGGGCTACTTTGGATGAATGTGCGAGAGAAATGAGCAAACAGACAGAATAATGGCATCGCAAATAAAAGACATTTGTGAGCCATAAACAGCACTACAGGTATACAAATATACAAGCCATTTTGAGGTGAAAATGAGCTGTATCGAAGCTGTACAGACAGGGCTGAGATTATTACCAATAAACAAGATTATCTACAGATGTGATTTTAGTTATAAATGCAGGTTATAAAATAAAATGAAGACTTTTCTGCAGCAGTGTAACAAGCCTACTGACTTAATTCTCTTCAAATGCTTCAGTTTTTAGTAATCCACATTACAGATAAAAAAAAATTGTCATTGTAACACAGCATGAAGAATGATTAACTTTCCAGATATTAAACCAGCCTATCCCTAGGTTCAATTTAAGACTTATATATAAATTCAATATATAATGTAATAAAATTTAATGACAACTTTGCAGCCCTACTGGCAAAAGTCTGAAAGATATAATGGAGACTATACAGACACAAATAACATTTTAGCCATTTTATCTGCTTGTTAAGTCTAACGATACATGTGACGGGGCATGATGCAGAAGAATGATTATAAAAACCAGTTTCTTTATGTAAAATACGTAAATATCACATGCCTGAAATGGATTTGTGATTTTGCCTATCATACCAGTGGTGACTGCATGGGCAGTTGTGGCCTAATGGTTAGGAAAGTGTGCTTGTGATTGAAAGATTGCTGGTTCGAATCCCCAACCACTGAGGTACCATGAGCATGGTACCATCCCCACACACTGCTCCAAGGGCGTTAAATAATAGCTACCTACTTGTATGTCACATATGGATTAAATGTAGAAGACACATTTCATTGTTGTGTGCTGTGGTGTGTCAACAATGACAATTATTCACTTTCACTTTTTCACTACACTTACAGGGCTTAGAATTCATTTCTCACTATGGGGAAGAATTTAACACACAAACAAATAAATTCCTCAGTTCTTCTGCAGTGCAGTCATACACAATCAAGTGATGGAGAAGAATAGAATAACAACTGAATATATACATTTTTTTTTCTACTCAGATATATTCAAAGTTGGACACAGCACTGCGGCATGTTGAAAAGTTGAGCGCCTCAGCCAATGCAGCAGCAGCTTGTATCCGGAAACAGCATTATCAGGTCATTACTGTATGTCACGACTTAACAAAATGATGACTTTTGCCACGTAAAATGCTCCATTGCGCATTTGACCATTATTTATGACATTATGGTACATATGTCTATTTAACATATTATTCATATACATATAAAATATATAATTATCAATTATATCAATATATCATTAAAAAATTTTAATATATACTTTTTTAATTAAGAGCTTTGCAATACTCTGTAAATGAAATTCAATACTTTTATGGACGTATTTTAAGAATATTAAAATGAATGCTTTTTAATGAAATTTAAGACCCACGGTTACCAACCATAACCATTTAAAATGAGACCCCTTCTTTAAAAAAAAAAACAAACAAACAAACAAACATGGAACCCAGAGGTGGAATAAAACACTAGTTAGAGAACGACTAATAAATTTTCCGCCAATAGTTGTATGCATATTTTTTAAAGGGACCTAACAAGACATTAAGCAGTCGCTGTGATATAACAAACACCCAAATATGAAATAGCATCAAATGACAGAGAAAATCAGGCTAATGATGTCATGCCCATTTCACTCTCCGGTCTCTTACCTTCACCCCTTTAACTGAAGGCATTATATCCTCTGGTTTTCCTTTATCCAGCACTTTTCTATGTTGCTAAAAATTTTTAAAAAAAGAGCACAGAGTTTGTGGACACTCAGATACGTCTACATAAATCATACTTACTAGCTCGACAGATAATCTTTGAAGGAATTTTTTCATTCTATTAAGCAGGGAACATAATAGACAGTACTCTTTAACAGTAAATGTTTGAGGACAAAGAAATTCTCATGCTAATATGGTTTTACCTTTTGCCGACATAAAGGCTCTTTTTTATTTTCTTCAGCTTTCACTTCTTGCTGCATGACTTCTTTTGGTGTATTTACTGCCAGCACGTCATTTATCGTAGATCCCACGACCATGATTTTGGCTCCATTAGTCACTTTGATTTCTCGTAGTGTCTTGTCCTCAGGTAGCAGTCCTTTATACATTACTTTTTGCATAGCAGGGGGAAGACCTTAAAACAGATTTCAAAAGCATGAGCAGCTGGAATTCCTGTTTCAGTCAGAAGTGACCCAAACTGCACGGCTCCTCACCTGTAAGTGAATGAATCCTTTCTTTTAAGTTGGCTCCTGTCCCATCCAGGGGGATTTTTAAATCGTACTTGTTCTTGTTCCAGATTATTTTCAGATCTACAGTTTCCTTGCCGTCGTCGGTGTCGCCTCCGTTGCTGACAGCTGATCCCAGGTCTGCAAGCTTTTCCCCGTCAGCTTGGGCACCGGCGGTAGTGGCCTCGTTGTCCCCTCCTTCAACGGCAGTCACACACAGCGCAGAATCATCATTCACACTGGCCTCGGTCTCCATCGTGATCCCCTCATCTCCTGCAATCAGTGGCATTTTCAAAGGAGAACACATTGAATCAATGAGAGTTTGACAGCTGATTACATCCACATGGGGGTGGGGGTTAACATTCTTGGTTCTTAAGTTGATAGATTATGTTGTTATTAAGACTTTTTATGAGCATGATGATATATTAAGGATTATCAAGCTAGGGTCTGTCAGCTCAACTGGTGTCATCTTGGTCAACGTCTACACCTGCTTTTTCAGCTGAATCATGAGAATATTCCTAGTATTACAACACGTGTAGTGACAATAAATAATGAACAACTGACAAACTGACAAAGGTAACTGACATTTGTCGATTCATATATTCTTACACAAGAACTTAAAAGTATGCGAAACTGTGGTGAACAGCTGGCTGTGGTGGTTAACTATCCTTACACGGCTAGCTGTTTAGCCGTTGCTGGATAAAAACAAATGAAAACGGCATTAACAGTTTATAAAGGCATAATTAGTGTCGGTAGCTGTCTAAACATTTTGATACACACAAAAGCAGTTCAACCATATGTTCGGTTGTTTGTACCCAGAACTTACATAACCGTGTTTTGGCTCTGTAACAAAAACGACTGGAGTGTTTCATGGTTAAAGGCAGGTTAGTAAGATGCCCCTTAATCCAAACATGAAGCATCCGAACTGACAAGTTACAAGTTCACCGCTAACTATTCATCAGTTTTCATTACGTTTTCAAGCTAACCTATTTCGAAACACAAGCCGGCCGGACAGCAAAAAGGGTATGAAGGCATGTTGTGGGAATACCTACCGTCCTGCGCCGCCATGATGATTGTGTACTATGATGCAGTGTGCCTACCGAGAAACGCGCGTGTGCTCGGAAAGCCTCGGCGGCTTCCGTACGCGGATTGACTTCACAGGCTTCCGTACTTTCTTCATCTGCCTTGCACGGACAGCTTTGCTCGTGAATTTTCCTTGTAAAATTCCCCCTCAAGACAAACCGCGTTTGACAAAGGCAGTACATGTATGGATTTGAAACTGGGATGATTTATTTGAAAAAGAGGAAGCATTTCTTTATGTTCAGTAATGAAAATTTAAAAGCTGCTTCCTGGCAGCATTTGTCGGTAATGGGATTTCCCTAAATTCCCTTCTGAGTTATATGTGCAACGGCGCATACCATGGTTTTGTGGTTAGTCTGTAGCCACTTTCAGTTATTTTCATTGTTCTAATAATTATTGAAATTTCAATGAGCTGTGAGTATTAAAATAAATTAAGGATCTTAATTATCTGAAATATAATTCAGAATATTTTGGGCAAACGCCATTCTTCATTCACACAGAAAAGTGATAAAAAAAATAAAAGTGCTCCATACAGCATTAATTACAAAGACATCCACCTTGCTCATTATGTTGGGTGGTGGTATTTTTCTGTTGCCAACAATGTACCAATTGCCTTTTATATATCTGGACAACGTGAATGTCCCATCCTTGATATGTATACAACTAATTATTCTTACTCACACATGCTGTCTTTTCATAAATATAACTGAATAACTAAGGACTTCATGATGAATGACTGTGTTCCAACTTTAAGATGAAGTTATGCACACAGAAAATAGCACGTCAATTAGACAATAATCAGCATAAATACAGTCAGAAAATGTAGCACATTTAATGTAACAGCTTCATCTGGGCTAAAAAGTGCAGAAACAAGATACTCTACAGTACAGTACCACCACATAATAATCTAACAGAATATCTAATGGATAAAACGTAATGGATAAAACATCTGCTAGGATCTATTCAGGGCTGAAGATATAAGTTCTGAGGCCTGTTTATTTATCCATTATCTGTTAGGGCTCCTGAGCTGGGCTGAAAGCTTGTTTCATCACACAGAGTCCTAGACAGAGCAGATGGGAAATTACAGCCATTCGGGATGAAAACAGGTTTGCAGGTTGTCGGTTGTGGTGATCTCAATAGATTGTGAAGCAAAAAGTTTAAAATTGCATCTTTATCTTTAATGCCAGAACCACGCAGAGCCTTAAAGCTAAGCAGGACAGCAGGTAGGTACTCAGTCTGCCATGGGAGGACACTGAAAATACCCACAGGAAACCCACATACCCACATAAATATTGTACTGTGTGAATGTGCCGTCTCTTCCTACACAAAACCTGGGGATGGTTTATATCCACAATCCCACAGGTGGTGAAATGGAAATGCTGACTGCTGAGCTTGGCTTTTGTATTTCCATTCACCATTTGGGTAACAGTAAAGTGGAACAGTAAAGTGGAACAGTAAAGGTAACAGTAAAGTGGAACAGTAAAGGTAACAGTAAAGTGGAACAGTAAAGTGGAACAGTAAAGGTAACAGTAAGGTGGAACAGTAGGGGTTATGTTAGTATATGTATGTTTGTTTGGCAGGCTCTTTGATAACATGTAAGGAAAGCAGATAATACACAAACATCCTGCCATCAAGCAGTCAGTTTAGGTCCAAGAGCCACAGGCTATAAGCTGCTTGTGCGTGTCATACATCTGTCATAGCTTAAGGACAGAGATTAAAAACAGAACTTCAAGCTAAAGGAACCCAGATGCTGATAAACACACGCATTGCAAACTGCATAAAAATGGCCGTTTTCCTTGAATACTCAGTACTGATAGTAATAGGCCCACTGACTGCAAGATATGGGGCACACAGCAATCACAATAGATTAAGTCATAGCTCTAAGTAGGGTCTGGCAAACAGAATCAAAGATACTGAGTGAGTCCAATCCAACAAGTCAAAATCGATCCAGGAAATCATAAATAAATAAATAAATAAAAATTTGGAAAAATACAGTAAGCAACCAGAATTCAGAAACACATATAACCAGGATCCAATCCAAAACTAAGCAAGGAAATAGTGAACAGAGGCAGCTGAAGTAGGTTGACAGATTGTTCCGTTAACTACAGCTTTTGATACATCTGGAATTGCCCACAGTCCTGTAGGACGACCATAGGTAATTCGTGAAACGAGATATATGGATCGACGTGTAACGTTTTATCTGGATGCAGTTTCCTTAAAATGCCCCGGTCATACGGAAGTTTTTATAAACGCAATCATAAAATAAGTCCAGGAAAGACGGCGTTTTTGACATCTGAATTCTGCAGCTGTAAAATAGAATTTTGAAAGATTTTTAAAAAACGAAACAGGAAAGCAAAATTATGCCCCATGTATTTCTGCAAAATACATATGTGTTTTTGAAATGAAATAATGGTACTGCATATCGAAATACATAACTTCAGTCTGTAACCGAGATAGAGAAATGAACTGGCAAATAACCAAAGTTTAAACCAGGATTGGAAAAAACACGTACAGTACCAGATTGAGGCGTGGAGTTTCAAATTACGCACTTTTACGGCTGCGACTGTCACTGTGCAACATGTCAAATCGGGGCTCAAAGAATGAGCCTTAGTGAAAATTACAAAGTGTTTATGTGTATATTTATTATTATTAATAATATTAATATTGTTCTTTGGAGCTTTTAAATTGTTTACGGCTTAAGTAATGGCAGACGTCAGGACGTACAATGTTGTAATTTTAGGAGTTGGCTTTATGCTTATTTTCACCGCATTTACAACGTGTGGAAATATCGAGGTAAGTCTGGGGACAGTCTACTAACTGGAAAATCGTGAAAATACGTCAGATCAAGTGCTTTGGCACCAAATTTACCAAAAACACTGCCGATGCAGCTATAGTTAACACTAATTAGCACTAGATCGACTTGTTTGCTCGCGGATAGAGACTACTTAATTGTGTAGTTTTGCAAGTTGGTTAAGTTTCAAAACCACTGGGAGATTTTGTGTCTGTGAAAAATAATCTAGTTTGTATTCCTTTGTTAAGGAAGTTTACGATGAAATAGGTAGTTTAACACCGCTTGGGTTGCATGATCGAGTCTATAGACAATAGGTGGAAGTGTAGAAGCGAACTGCGTTCAAGTAGCATTGAAATAAAGAGACACAGTCATAACAAACAGTAAGGGCGAGGTTCAAACTTTTATTTTATTTTTCCTTTGTCTGGCTATAGGTTCTCATTTAGTTGGGTCAGGGTAAAACCCAGTGTTTTCTGTAATCAAGTATCAATGCGTGAAGCCAAATACCTTTCAGATATATTGATTATTTACATATTTCTAGTTTCAAATGAGTAAGTGAGAGTGTACGTCTGTCTAATAAATGCGTCCATAGAACATTGGAACTGAACCAGGTCTGGCGCCGTTCGTGTACTAAATTTGTACCAGCATACGAAATTGTGAAGATGCACGGCAAATTACTCTAAAGCACCTAAATACATCCCTTAATGTCAAACATTCTTTAACCGTGCAAAGCATCTCTCGGTGGTGGTTATTTTTTAAATGATCCTTTGGAGGTTTATAAAAATTGACTTGGTTTAGTTTTTTCCCCAAGTTTTTCTTGACGTAAAATGGCACAAAGCAGGTCACATGGCGAAGGGGGTCTTAAAACCAGCATTTCATTATCAAATTAACAAAACTAAATCTGTATCCCATGACATAGTGTGGTCTTTGCTCTGGTTAGGCAAAGAAAGTCCTATGTCCATTCAACATGTGTCATGAATTAGGCTAGTGGGTTCACCTACTAGTAAAACTATTTGGAAAATGATAAATTTCAGAGGAAAATGATCAACCACTAGCTGTGTCACTATAAATACTATAAAGCATGTACATTAGTATTTTTATTCATTAATTGTATTGTTGGTTGTTTTAAGGTGCCTCCTAATAAGTTTTTAGAAACATAATTTGAATTCATGTTTTTGACTTTTCTTCTAATTGTGTGTTTTTTATTTTCAAGCAAACCGTGATAAAAAGCTTGCATAACACCACATTCAGGGGAAGTGGCTACCACAGGTATAGTTTGTCCATCTACACAGTATTGCCTGAATTTTATTTGATGTGCAATTCATTTTCAATCAAAACAATCCAAATATGCATGCTTTTGCTATTGTAAGGGCTGATAGTTTAGTCTGATGTTTATTTTCAAAAATAACTAAATTAATCCTGTGGTAAAATTATAATTAAAAGTGAACATGGTACAAAGTGGTTCATTACACTCTTTAGCTCTGTGTTTTATATGTTTGTTTGTATGTATATATGTATGTGTGTGTGTGTGTTAGTTCCAGTTGTGTAAAAGTAGATCCCTTGCACTTTTCCCAAATACATTGTGTGTGTGTGTGTGTGTGGGGGGGGGTTCTCCATGTTCAGGGTCCTCAGAATTTGTACCTGTATGTGCCCCGGATGTACACTGTCCAAAGAGTGTGTCTGCCTGTATGTACCCAGGATGTACCCCATCCAAAGAGTGTGTCTGCCTGTATGTACCCAGGATGTACCTCATCCAAAGAGTCTCAATGTGTGCTGTATGTGCCCAGGATGTACCCCATCCAAAGAGTCTCAGTGTGTGCCTGTATGTACCCAGNGTACCCAGTATGTACCCCATCCAAAGAGTCTCAGTGTGTGCCTGTATGTACCCAGGATGTACCCCACCCAAAGAGTCTCAATGTGTGCTGTATGTACCCAGGATGTACCCCATCCAAAGAGTCTCAGTGTGTGCCTGTATGTACCCAGTATGTACCCCATCCAAAGAGTCTCAGTGTGTGCCTGTATGTACCCAGTATGTACCCCATCCAAAGAGTCTCAGTGTGTGCCTGCTTCATGCTCTCTGCTTCCTGGGAGAGGTTTCAGGCTCACCCAGACTCTGTATTGGATAAGCAATATGAAAGCTGGATGATCGAATGCATGGATGCATATGTCTATGTCAATGTCTATGTAAATCCTGAATACACACAATTAAGCTTTATTCTGCTCTTTCTGCAGTCTTGGTATTATATATGGAGTTTTCTCATTCTCCAATTTGTTTGCTCCGGTCATTGTGACAATTCTGGGACCGCGGGTCACCATGTTTCTCAGTGGGTTACTTTATAGGTGAGTATTTGCTCTGCCTAATTTCTGCTTTCAGTTGCCATGCTCAGTCAGAATGTAATAGAACTAATTTTAAACACAGATTTAATTACATTTGTGTCCCATGCTACTTTTTATCCGAAAAGGGCACAAAATTGTGAAATTGGTTCAGCTTGTCCAGAATTGCAAAGCAGTTCCTTGACCACTTTTAGATGACTTTCAATCTGATGCCAGGCTTTGCTGTTTTTGTCCATTTCCCCTTTTGTAGTTGTTACTCCGCACTCTTCATCCTTCCAGAGACGTGGTCTTTTTACCTCGTGTCCATTCTGATTGGCTTAGGAGCTTCCAGTGAGTCCGTGACCCAATTCTGATTGGGCTGATTCCCTGTTTACCTTCACCAAGCTATATGATATTTATCTGTATAGTATTAGGTATATGGTAAATTACAATTTTCAGTCACAAGAAGTTTGTTAAACATTTACTAACGCTATTCTGTGCACGAGGTTCAAAGGTACTAGGCTGTTTAACTTTATGGATTAATCTTACGTGATATACTTCTATGAATGTATGATTTTTATGTATGTCATACAGTACAGTGAAAAAAGGTGCCATTGTTTTTTTAATCACATAATTTGAAAACAGTTTTAAGATTGACAGCTTCCAGGAAATAAGGTCATAGGTAAACTTTTTCCATTCATTTATCAGGTGATGGATCTTTCCAATGAATGGCAGAGAAAAATTTAATAGTCCGGTTACTTTCAGTCCATTTTTGCAGTGATTTTGGACAATTGTGTAATTTTAATTCCACTTTTTAACTTGCATAATGCGTAATGACATAACATGTTCGTTTTGTCAGGTTTAATGTATGCGTAAAACATTGAAGTGCAGCCATTTTGCATTTCAACCAATTAATCATATAAGCTTGTATTTCCTGATAAAATTAAAGTCAATGCACAGAAAAATATACTGGTGACAATTGTTTAAAGCTTTCATTATAGAACTCATTTAAAAGTACTTTTCATGATATAAAATGCTTCCATTCAGCACTTCCTTGAATCATTTGATCAAGACTTCATATTAACGGACCGTGATTCATCTGTAAAACTATGAAAGGGAGCTTTGTGTAAATATGACACACATATGCCTTATAAGATAGCATAACTGTAACTGAATATAATCCATGAAACTGATGTGATCATTTCTAGCAGAAGTCCTGTTTTTCCCTTTTACCGTCCGTGCTGAAGTGTTCGTCTGCTGGCCACACCCAGGAATGGAGGTGACTGTGTTAGTCCTGTTGGTTTGTTTGGCCCTTTCAGTGCTGTGGACCGCTCAGGGAACCTTTCTGGTGCAGAACTCTGATGTTGCCACCATCAACAAGCACACCGGGGTCTTTTGGGGGCTTCTACAGTGCAGGTAAGACAGATGTTGTCCATTTATAACTAGTGGCATCCATCTAGCTATCAGACCATCCATACGGTTTATCTAGTGAAGCATCGTGATGAGCCTGGAGCCCATCCTAGGCATCACAGGGCAAAGCACAGGGGACACTTGCAGTTCACATGTTCGCATGCAGATACTCCTGACTGCATGTTTCTGCAGTGCGGGAGGAAACTAGAGCCCCACGGGTAAACTAAGCAAACACAAGGAGGATGCAAACTCAACACACACATAATTTGTCCTAGTAAGACTAAAATACTGAGCGGTTCTGTCTTTTGTATGCAGCATTGTAAACCTTGCAAATTCGCAGCCATCTTTGTTGGTTTTTCTGCCTTCCAAACAGCATGTTATTTGGCAATATGTACATCTACTTTGACTGGAGAGGAAAAACAGAAATCACAGGTAGGATGGCTTTGCAACATCTTTTTCCAAATTTCTGCTGGCTATACTTATAGAAAAGGCTGTTGTAATATTTTCACATTCTTCATTAATGGGCTTCAAACTTAAATATGACTTCAACCTTTATGCTGCCTGATTACTACTGAAAGGGTGCAGCTCAGGCTGGGACTTCATTTGGACATGAAAAGTGTTGTTCTGTCCACTGTTTCCAGGCTTTGAGCTCTCAATCCTGTGTGTAACACATGCTGCTCTCCTCTCACAGACAGTAACAGAAAGACTATGTTTGTGGTTCTGTTGGGGATCTCTGTTCTGGGAACCCTGACCTTTATTGTCTTGAGGAAGACTGGACTACAAGAGGAGGTCCTATCTGAAGAGGAAGGAGAATCTCTACTCTCAGCCCGCATCATGTAAATGAAGGAAAAGTTCTGTCTCTCCGCTCTGAGGCTTATTAATTGGTAACATTGCATAAGAAGTGGTCGAGCTAATGGTATTGTAATTAGCGAGCCAGTGACATGTCTGTGGCCAGGTGTTTTGCTGGAAAATCATCTTACTACCTTGTTTTACAGATACAAACAAAAAACTACCATAGCAGTGAGGGAGACCAAGTCAGAGCTAAGTGAGACCTTATTTTGATGTTATCTGTTTATGTAGCACTGGGTGGTTTGTTCTTGTAACGCTTTTTGTTGTTGTTTTTCACCCTAGGTTCAGTTTTGCAGCTGTTTCGTTCGAAAGCTATACTCCTCTTAAGTTGCTCTATGGCCTACAGTGGTACGTGCTGAACAAATTGCATGGAATTTTAGCAAATCACTATAAATAACCAAGCATGTGACGTGTAACACAGTAGCATCTGGTCTTGCTGACCCACTGTTTTCTAGGCCTGGAACTGTCTTTTTACAGTGGTGTCTATGGAACATGCATCGGGGCCACAGGGCATTTTGGAAATGATGCCAAAAGTCTCATCGGCCTTTCTGGGATTGTGGTGGGACTTGGAGAGATTATTGGTAGGTTTGTCCTGTTCCCTCCTTGTGCATTGAAACTGTGGCAGACACATTGTCCTGGCTCTGTATAACTCATGGTCCTGGCTCTGTATGGCTCATGGTCCTGGCTCTGTATGACTCATGGTCCTGGCTCTGTATGGCTCATGGTTCTGGCTCTGTATGGCTCATGGTCCTGGCTTTGTATGGCTCATGGTCCTGGCTCTGTATGGCTCATGGTCCTGGCTTTGTATAACTCATGGTCCTGGCTCTGTATGGCTCATGGTCCTGGCTCTGTATGACCCATGGTCCAGTCTGTGTGTGGCTCATGGTCCCGGCTAAGGCTGCACAATATCACATCACAATTATATGGCATATGCACAATAATCATCAGGACTTTAGATGACAGACATAAACATTTGTCCAGGCGCCAGTGTTTCAGCACTATACAGATGTTTACTTACACCCACAATTTGGTAAGCAGATTAGTAGAATGCCTGAAATATTAATGAGAGGTGTATTGTAATGCCCAAAAATCGGTAATCTGTATCAATTTGGCATATCCTTATGTTTAGTACATGTACACTCTTTAAACTGCAAGACGTACCACCACACCATTGCTGCCTTTTTATCTGTTTATCCACAAGATCTCCACTTTCAAACGATGTTGTAGCTGTTGAGCTGTCCTTTTCTTCACCACCACTTCAGTGCTTATCGCTTTCATGATATACCGAAAGTAGTATGTGGTGTACTCTACTAACCAGATTTAATAAACATAAGGATTCACTGAACTGATACAGATCTACTAATCTGCTTACCAAATTGTGGATGTAAGCAAATGTCCATAAGGTGGCATCTCATCAAATGTTTATTCCCATCAGCTAAAGCTCTTTTGAATATAATCTCTTTTGATTATATCACAGTGTGATATTGTGCAGCCCTACTACTTGCTCTATACAGCTCATGGTCCTGCCTGTGTAAGGCTCATGGTCCTGGCTTTATATGGTTATGGTCCTGCCTGTGTATGGCTCATGATCCTCATTTCAGCTTGCCTACATTGGATTTTTGTTGTATACATGTTTAACCTTTAGATTTTAAATTGTTTTATATTATTCTGTGACCCTAACCATGATAAGCAGATGGATGGATGGATGGAAGTTTGGTATTAAAATGTCAGTTCTTTAGACTTTATTGTGCAAAACTAAACTGTTAACTCTGGGTAAATTATCTTGCTCTTTCCCCACAGGTGGAGGTTTGTTTGGGCTCCTGTGCAAGAACAATCGCTTCAGACGTACCTCAGTGGTCTTCCTGGGCATGGTGGTGCACTTTGTTGCCTTCTATTTGATCTTCCTGAACATCCCGAATGACGCCCCTGTGGTGTTTGAGACGAGCACGCAGCTGGAGCCCTACCTGTCTCCCAGGTATCCCACCCTAAACGGAGGGCGTTAGAGTTGCCGTATTGTGGCCGGAGGCGTGGCCTGTTTGAAGCAGCATGGGAAATACTGATTGGCTTGAGACAAATCCGTTTGTGCAGTGGGCCAGAGGCATTGCTGAAACAGTGTTTTCTGTAATTGGCTCGTTCATACAATTCCCAGCAGAGTGACTAACTAAACGGGCCATGCTCATTGCCCAGCGTGTCCATAGCCCTGCTGTGCAGCTTCCTGCTTGGTCTCGGAGACAGCTGCTTCAACACGCAGCTATACAGCATCCTGGGCTGCGTGTTCGCTGAGCAGAGTGCGCCGGCCTTCACCATCTTCAAATTCATCCAGGTAGTGCTGAGAAGCCACGTGTGCCACATGCTTAGAGACATTACTAGCGGTGTTCCAATACACTTTTTTGGTACTTCAATCTGGTCCATTCAATATTTATATTTGCCAGTTCTGGGTCCTGATCTGATAATAAACGTTTAAATATATATACACATACAGTAGGCATGAGTGCATTCTACGTTTGAGTTTAAGCTTTGTGATTTTGCAGTATTTTTCTTTATAATGTTTCTGAAAGGGCCTAATTAGACTCGTATTACATGACGCTCTTGCTACTTCCTCTTGAAAGGCATTGAAAACAATTCAGGTAGCTGTTGGGCTACTTTGAGTTTCCAATACAAAGAATTTCCACACGGCTGAACACTCTGTTCAAGCCATGTGCCTCAAGCTTACTGCAGCGTGTAACGGAACCTTACAAACTTTGCTACTGATGTAAACTGGGAAGATGTGGGAAATTAAATAGATCAGGCTGGATTGGCCTCAATTCCGATCTTTGAAATTGGTTCAGGATATTACAGAACAATACTGGTAATTTAATATCAAGAATGCCAGTTCACGCACTTTGTGTGTGGGGGGGGGGGTTAATTTATATAATGCTCGCAATTATGTTTGATTGTGAAACCTGTGAGGTTCACAAATATAAAAAAACACTTTGTCCACATGTGTTCCCTGGTCCTCCACACCCTGTTATTCCCCTTTCCCTTTCACTCTGTTACGCCCTAACCCTAGACTGGGACTCCTAACAAATGGTACAAAAACCATGAATTAAAACATGATGTATTAGCGGTGATGAGGGCATGTCAATGACAAACTGGTTTACTGTGACTATCTGACGACATGCCCGTCTGTCTTCGCCACGGTAACTGCATGCCCCATCCTTGCCCATCTCGCACCCAGTCCGTCTCGGCGGCACTGGCTTTCTTCTGCAGTGGCTACCTGCTGCTGTCCTGGCAGCTGCTCATCATGGGCTTGTTTGGCTTCATCGGGACCCTCTGCTTCTTCGTGGCAGAGAAGACACAGGTCGCACCTACGGACCCCACGCAGTACTGACTTGCCTCGATGGCCTCGAACCAACCCTGCTCATCAATTCAGCTTCTGCCCAATTCAGAGCGACACACTAGTAATTTAAATTTTAGCAGGTGGTACATTTCATTCACAAAGAACGCTTTAAACATTTTTGTATTATAATTCCAACCTCATGTGTTTTTCCTCAGGGTTATTGTTTATAAGTAATTGTTTATGATAATATTGACCCATTGTATGCAGATTTAGCTGAATGTCCATCAGTGTTATAGAATATTAGGTGGGCAACAGAAGAACTGAACTTGAATCACTGTCTGTTCATCTTGTGTAATAATTGTTAGTTGGACAATAGGCTGTTGATATTTAACTTTATTTGTACAGTGAGGAAAAATGACAATAAGCTAGTGGAATGAGAAAGTCAGGTATGGCTCTGCGTGCTATTCAGGGTTACCCCTGGTGTGCCCTGCCGGGGATCCGCTCCAGGTCCCTCCTGTCCAGGATGAGTAATTGGATGATATATGGAGGGATTCTTTGGCTTCATTTAGGATGACAGATAATCTAATAATGGTCTTGCCTAGTTGTTAAAATAATTTTAAAATAACACGTTAATGCTGGCAAATATATCTATCAAGCTGTGTATTAATATTTCCATGATATAGTCTGATTCCCAGCTTATGTTATATTGATCCTAATATTTATAACCATATTTTGGTAGAAGGCATGTTTTTATATTTATTTCAGAATAAATATTGTCTACCTTTGTTTATTTCTTTGAATAAACTAAAGTGTTCCTTTCATTTCAATATGGAGCTCACCTATGTATTTACACTCTTGTGCAGATGTCCTTTGTGTTATAAATGTATTGGATCAAAACATTACACATTCACTGCAGGGAGAGCGAATCAGTACAGAGCTCATTCCGGAATCTTACCCCAGCTTCACACTGGTTTCTTTACCGGTGAAATCTGCCTCCTGTATCCCATATCTAGTTCTCTTAAGGTGAATCTATACATGCTTTCCCCCAAACCTCTGTTACGCACTGCTCCAGTATCAAAAACATTTTACTGTCTTTTCACTGCCTTTGCCAGATGGTCAGTCCACAGTCCTCATTTGAGCCCTGGTTTTTAGACAGTAATATAACATAACATGGCCACAAGGTGGCAGTATAAATTTAAACATTTGTTGTATGGCTCCTACTAAAAACATTTCATACAATGCAACTGTATGATTGATTGTAAACAATGTTTCACCATTGTTTACAAAGTACTATAGTACTAGAAACATGGCTCCACATAGCAGAGCCCAGTAAGTGCGCTGAGCATGCTGGGAATATTGTAAATCTTGTGTTGTCTTTCCTATTGTTGCGGTGTCTTTGCCCTTGATACTTGTGAACCCTGTCCTTTAGCTTTTGTGTAAATTACCCACTGTGGGCGCCTTATTGTTTGACATCCAACCTCCTTGTTTTTCCCTGTTATGTGTTGTCCGGTGGTTGTTTAGTACCTGTGTTAGTCCTTTTAAGGGCTTAATAAAAGGGCATCATTTTACCCTTTAAGTGAGCTTCCTCATCCCTTGCCGCCACCACGATTCCTCGCCTGCCGGATACTACACTGGTGTCAGAAGTGGGATGCTAGAAGTGGCCCCACCAGCCTCACTGGAGAGGGCTCTCCTCATCCTCTGGCAGCCAATTGCAGTGGTACTTCATCAGGACCAGGAGCGGCTGCATGAAGAACTAGCGTGCTGGGAGTGCGAGGTGCGACCGCCAGAAGCGTCAAGCCAGGGCAGCGGAGGCAGTGTTACTTGGCTGTGCGTCGGTGCTGCTCGGTTGTGAAAAGGCGTGTCGTGCTTTGGAGGCCCAGCTGGCTCAGGAGCCGCAGAAGAGGAAGGGCCATGGCCTGGGGGAACCTTCNCACAAAAAGACCTCTGGGACAAGGGGGATGTTAGGTCACAGGTTACCACTGCATCAGTCCTACAGTACGTTCCAACTGATAGCTTGTTGTTGTTGACAGTACTTAGGCAAGGTGAGCCCAGAGACAGTGAGGTTAAAGGTCATAGAGGTTCTCTATGGCTGGACCCAGTGGCTGAAAGATGAGATCAAGATCCAGGAGGCCTACCAGATGCTAAAGAAACAAGGTCTGTAGACCACAGTAAGTTCTGTTGTCTGTTGCTTTGATAAGCACCACATGTGATTATTATTATTTTTTTTTAATGTTCAATATGATGGGACAGCAAAACGGTAAAAGTAAGGTAGACAGATGGAAGCGACACAGACTTGCTGGAGGAAATGGTGGAGGACTGCTTGTGGTGCTTGCCAGGACAGTCAGAGCCAAGTAAGTGTGCTGAGCATGCTGGGAGTATTGTAAATAGCCCCTGTGTGTATTATTCTTAAATACTTATTTCCTGTTGTTGTGTCTGTCTCTGCCCGTGTTATATGTGAATCCCGTCCAATCCTAGAGCGTCTTTAGCCGTTTCAGCCTTATTGTCCGATCCAACCATCCTGCTTTTCCCATTATGTGTTGTTCGGTGGTTGTTTAATGCCAGCATTAGTACTCTTAAGGGCTTAATAAAAAGGCGTTGTTTTCCCCTATACGTGACCTTCCTTGTCGCTTTGCTCCGCCTCCATGCCTCAGTCTGCCAGATGCTACAGTACCTCATTGTTAGTGTGAAAAACTCAACAGCAGTTTCTGTGCTTGCTGTTAGCCAACTCTCATGCATCTGGTGTGACACGCTTTCAGACTCTCACACAAAAAATCTTACAGCAAATCTATATTTTTCCAGTATAAACCTAAAATTAGCTACATCAAAAGCATCGGGGTAATTCGCAAAACTCTACAGACTATTTACAAATAAAATAAAATTGTTACATACATGTAAATTCATGTGCATATATTTAAAATGATGAAAATTTCACTCCAGCTAGCAAATTGTGAACATACAGTATGTGTGGTTCCAACTGTGTCACTTAATGAAATCGGTTAATAAAGGGGATTGCTGACTTTCCCACTCTCACTCGCCTGTTCCCACCTGACAGGGCTATGGTCTGGTCTGTTCTGATACTGCCACTGCATGCCTCATCAGATGTCTTGAAGATGGATGGATGGATGTTCTTGTGAAAAATGGCACCTTTGGACAATCCTTAAAGCATGAGTATGTGATGTGATCTGATACACGTAATACACGTCCAATAAGAAGTGTTATTCATTCTCAGCCATATAAGTCAATTTCAAAAACATTTTTTTTCTTGGATAATAGAAGTTTTCTGATTCAATTCAAAGCCCCAAAACATGTTTATGCTTGGAATCTCATACCATAAGCCATGGGTGTGGTTAAGTCTAATCCCCAAGTATTTTACCCCGATGCCAGTCAAGGCCTGGGTAAACTTAACTTAGCCTCTAATTTTTTTCAATTGCTCCTGCCATAGACTCAGCAGTAACCCACTGCTTATATGTGTATTTATGCCAACATATAGTTTTATATACATTGTACAGTCACATTGCGGCTATTTATAGCTGGAGGTAAATACACAGGCACTACTAAATTTAGACAAACAGCGGCTTTTCACAATAAGTAATGCAGCCTCTTCTTTCCATTTTAGTTTTATGGAAGTTTACATCAAAAAGCAAACAGTGAAGACTTGCTCACTCTGTCGTTCTCAGGCCTGGTTGGAGTTGTCAGCCACTGAATCCCGTGGGGTAGAGATCACCGATCCCGCCCTGGCGGGCCTTCAACCTTAATTTTGTCCTTAGGCACTTCAGCATTTCTTTCAAGTAATTACTTCCCTGATGTGACCTCCTTATAAGGAATAAAACAACAATCTATTATTTCTGCACTATGGCAGGCACCGTGTGTTTACCTGACATTATACAAGGCAACAGGCCACAGTATATATTATAGCTTATGTATAGATAAGTACATATTTATTGCTTATCTGACAGCGACTGTAACCATTTCAACGTTCAGTTAGTCTGCAAGAGGAATCAGTTCCCCTTTTCTGTTGCAAGGTTTATAAGCGCTGGCAACCGTTTAAGAGACTGTGAAATGAGAATCACATGTCAAGTCAAGTGTCTGCGGATTGCCTCGGAAGCAAGAAGCGAAAGCGTGAAAGCAGCGCAAGCTTTGGGCGCACAGGCATGGCGGCGCCGGACGGCCAGGAGACCCTAGAGAGCTGGCTCAGTAAGTTTTAACCTGAAAAACTATACCAGCGTTAACCAAATCCGGTCTTTATGTCGTTTCACTGTCATCAGCACCTGTCATTGACATAGTTTAATAAGTGGTGACTGTTTTGCAGTAAAAAAAAAAACAGTCGGATTTATGAAAAGCAGGTGGTAGTTATTAACAAATATGGAAAATACGGTAGGGGGAAGAGGTACAGCTTGCGTTTGACAGTTTAAGCTTCCGGCTAGACAGGCATGGCCGAGTTAGAGTATGTTTACTTTATAATAACACTTAAGCTAACAAGGCGCATTTACGTGGTAGCGGGATCCCGTTTAGACAAGTTATTCACCATGGAGCTAAAAAAGCAGGAAGTGACAGTCGTCTAAGCTTCTTTTACAGCTGTAATTATGTCACTGGGGGAATATTATTATGGCGTTTCAAGTTGTTGAACGAAAATATTGATTATTATCACGATATAAGAGTACAACAGAAATTGTGTTTAACAAGGAATCCTGGCTGTTTCTTAAACCTAAATTAAGATAATATGATTGTCAACTGTTTGTTTAACATGCAATTTCCTGTGGGAACAAATGTGCCGTGACACGTGATACATGCGGCAGAATCACTTTTGTTTAACCAAAATAGATGAATAGTATACTGTTTTGTTCAATAATTACTACATTTTTAAATAGTATTGTGACTAGACTGTTTAAAAAGTTATTGTTGGCTATTAAAATAAGAATAAAATAACTTCGCAAAACGTCGTCGTCTTCTTCTTTTGTTATTATTATTATTAGGGTTGCATATGGAAAAACACCGTTATTATTGTTGTTGTGGTTTTCCGATCGTTTAGCTCTGTCTCGCTGTTATTCGCAGATAAAGCCACAGATCCCAGCAATTCCAGCGAGCGATGGGACTGCATTCAGCGATTCTATGAGCAGGTCAATGAAGAACACGACGGGTAAAGTCATTAAGGTCTCGGTAACACTAACCGGATAACTTGTCAAATTTTTTGGTAGTCTGAACTAAATGTAAGATAACCTTGCCTAATTGAATAGACATCGTTTTCGTTATCATTCAACTAGGAAAAGTTATCTGACTTAGCAAGAAATCCTGCTTTGTTGTACAGGCCCCTGACCCGTCCCCATCCATAAAATGTATATACAGTATGCACATTTATGCTATTATTATTATTACTATAAAAATGATAAAGCAATCAGTTACGTGACTTAAACTGCCCCTGCTGATTAAAATAATTATAAAAACAGGTTTATGCATCATTAATATAGACATTATGCTGAAAATGTAATTTAAATTTAAGATGGATAGTTAAGGCAGAAAGCTTTCAGAGGTGTCCATGCATCTTCCACCTGTTATAAATCGTAGAGGGTCATGGTGCGTCTGTAACCCAAACCCAGGAATGACAGGGAGTGCACAGGCTGGGTTGGACACTAGGCCGTCACAGAGCCCAGACACAGTATGGTTATTTAGGAGACATTAAGACATGCTTTTGCATTTAGTTTGCATGTCTGAAATTTTGTTTATTTACACAGCGAGGTTTTTACTGGAGAAATTTGGGTTAAGTACCTGGATCCTCTAATGACTAATTCCCTTTAAATAAGTTTGTCATCTGCATCGTCAATTTAAGGAAAAAGTCAAGTTACAGAATGTAAAAAGGCATCCATCATTTTAAAACCTTTAATCTTATTCATTGACAGGCCTCAAGTCGCCACAAGGCTTTTGGCCCATAAGATCCAGTCACCCCAGGAGAAAGAAGCATTGCAGGCCTTGACTGTGAGTGCACCCCTGTTTCTCCGCCTCCGTCTGCTTTACCGTCAGCGCTTGTGGTGCACTGTCGTTTCCCCTTGTCACACTGACCATTGATGACACCTCAGGTGTAATATGACATTCTTCACTGACCCTCGTAGCTCTTTCGTAGCTAAACCAGCATTCATTGTTATTGGTGGAAAAAAACTGCTTAGAAATTCCTGGACAAGGAAGTTACCGGAACAGGTGTATTTACCTTCACTGCAGCAGGTGGGATGATTGTCTACACAGCTATAATCATGTCACAGAAGCAAATGTTTGTTTTTGTCTACAAATATTCGAGATGTCAAAAAATGGGTGGTCGGTTTTTTGTTTTAAAAAAGAATTGACATAAACTGTATATCAAAATATTATTGTTAACTGCCAGGATGAAGGAACATTTATTTGAAGAATACAACATGAACTAAAGCAAGTGTTTTTACACAGACGTGGTATTTATTAAGGGACTGACAGGCGTGGCATTTAAGGGACTTGTCCTCAATGATTAGTACAAGCATGTTTTTAACTACATAGTTAAAATTTAAAACTGGAATATTCTACCCTTAGTGGTGGGTTGTCAGATCTGTCAGATATTCTTCTCATTTAACTCTGTCACTAATATTGTTCCCTATTACAGTTGTGAGCAATGTTATCCCCATATACTGCTATATGTATGCCCATATAATACTATCCTTATCATGACTATGCAGAAGAAAAAACTTCATGTAGTTTTGCTTGGTTTTGTTAAAGATAACCTTTGATTTTTTGTTTTACTAATATTTAAAATTAAAATTGGTTTTGACAGAATTCTAAACTAGAGTTACTAAGTTAAAACCAAATCACGTTCATTGTTGTACTTTTGACTGTCACTGGAGAATGTGACTTTGTTTGTGTGTGATTTTTGCAGGTTTTAGAAGCTTGCATGAACAATTGTGGGAAGCAGTTTCACAAGGAGGCCGGGAAGTTCCGTTTTCTCAATGAATTAATTAAGACTTTATCACCAAAGGTATAACTGAACACAAAAAGACCTCTGGGACAAGGGGGATGTTAGGTCACAGGTTACCACTGCATCAGTCCTACAGTACGTTCCAACTGATAGCTTGTTGTTGTTGACAGTACTTAGGCAAGGTGAGCCCAGAGACAGTGAGGTTAAAGGTCATAGAGGTTCTCTATGGCTGGACCCAGTGGCTGAAAGATGAGATCAAGATCCAGGAGGCCTACCAGATGCTAAAGAAACAAGGTCTGTAGACCACAGTAAGTTCTGTTGTCTGTTGCTTTGATAAGCACCACATGTGATTATTATTATTTTTTTTTAATGTTCAATATGATGGGACAGCAAAACGGTAAAAGTAAGGTAGACAGATGGAAGCGACACAATGACTTGCTCTGGCATATGGCCAGTGGGAAGCAGAAAGTAGGTCAGCTGAGAAGAAAATTAAATGCATGTGTCTTTGCGTGGTGTCAGCTGATGCATTTAAGTCAGCTGACCTCATGCAGAAAGCCAGCTTCAGAACTCAGCTGAAGGGTGATTACTGATCAGTGTGTGTTGTGTGGTACTTAGATATAAATCTCACATCAATTGTCAGTATTTTTTCCCATTTCTTTTTTGTGTCTTTGCTACAGAACAGTGAAAAAGTCACAGGTCACAGTGATATTTGAAGTTTTCTGTTTTTTTAAATACAATTTCTTTATTGTTTTTACATAGAACATGTATTACATAGAATGTAGTATGGGTTGTATCTAGGCTTATCATTCTTGTGTATTATAATTTATTTCCATGCAATAAACTACAGATAATGTTATTTGATGGCTTCTACAAAGTGGGCAAGAAGGGAGAAATACCATCATCTTCCATTTTCCTATGCATTTGTCTTCTTTTTAATCTTAGGAATAGTGAAACAAGACCCCCCATTATCAAGGGAAATCATAATGCCCCCCCCGTCTCCCAGAGCAGTGGGCTCTGTGTTTGATGACGCAGACAAAACAAAGGTGAGTCTGAGACATCTGGCAATAATCTGAAGAGAAAATAGCTACTGAAACAGAGAAATAAAGTGAGTCTTTCATTTCATTTGGAATCCAGTATGCATAACAATGCAACCCTAGCAATACTGTATTTTTTCGACTAAAAACCAGTTCAATTAAAAGCTGAGCCAGGAGCGTGGTGGACATGAACAAATAGGCCAGGCCCTAGATACAGGCCAGGGCAAACAATCCAAAGACAGTAGTGGATAAACTCCTGGCGCTTATTCTTAAAGGTGTATGAACGAAATAGACAAGAAACGTTTGTATGCACATTTATACGAAGATGCTGGGACATATAAAAAAACAACATAAATAAAAGATACCCTGAGTTTGCACGTTTACGAATGGCCCATGACAGGAGGAAACAGGAAAAAAATCGCATCTTGAGTTCAGACGGAAATGTGCATCTACGTTGCATTTAGTCAGTTTTAGCACTTGGTGAAATGCTTGATAATAAATAAAGATAAATTCTTATCTTTGTAAGGAAGTAAGGAAGCACTCTTGGTTTACAGTTAACATTCAGTATTTGTTAAACTTTTCAAATAGTTTGTTAAACTGAATAATTTAATACTTTAGTGGTTTAACATCGTTGACTCAGATTGGCACCGTATACGCAACTCAAATCCATGGTTGGTCATACACCTAACCAGGCCCTTCTTTGTTGCCTGGTCACTGTCGAGTTGCCCTCCCATGCCCGAGTATAACGAGGCCCCTTGCTGTTGCCTGGTCACTGTCGAGTTGCCCTCCTGTGCCCGAGTGTAACGAGGCCCCTTGCTGTTGCCTGGTCACTGTCGAGTTGCCCTCCAGTGCCTGAGTGTAACAAGACTGTGCTGTTACAGCTGCTGGAGAAGCTCCTGAAGAGCCAACGCACCGACGATCTGCAGGCTGCCAACTTGTTGATAAAGAGCACCGTCAAGGAGGTGAGCTGGGAATCCGCTAACGGAGGTGGGACGGGTCACATTGTGACTGCCAGCCAGACGATTTAGTGTCATGGAATCAGCACAGAGGAAATACAAGCAGACACTCCACCGGAAAACAGGCAATGCATGAGGCGCCCGTGTTTGAGCACTTCTCACCGCAACAGGAGGAGGACAGATTGGAGAAGGTGAGCAGGCGGACTAGTGCCGTAGAGGAAGTGAGGAGCAACACAAAGCATCTGAGGGAGCTTCTGGAGAAGCACCGGAGGGCTGACCTGTCCTCAGAAGAGCAGGAGGAAATGAAGGTTTGCAGCCTTTGGGCATTTGTGAGCTCCTGACTATGATCACTCACATTCTAGTTACTATTAGAACAGACAGACAAAAGCAATAAAAGTGAGTAAAATTGGGAAAAAGTTAATCAAAATTGAGGATTAAAAGCAACAATGTAGTTCTAACCTTGTGGAGGGAGACCAGCCTTCCTGCAGGCAGAACGAATGTCATAAAAAATGTAACAACAAATGTACCATAGCTGTGGCATGCCTATCTCTATCTCTGCTTACACTTCATCTTACTAGTGCTGTAATGAGTGTGACAGAATGAATAGCTGAGTAAAAAGTAAATAAGGTTGACCTCTGAAGTGACAGGCAAGGTAAGTAAAGCACCTAAATACTACAGAGGTTTTAAGCTTAGTCATGCTTTGCCATGATAAAACACAGGAAAGCCGTACAGTGAGGTCCAGCAGGTGATGTGAAACATTATAGGCTGTGAGATTTGGGCTGATATCTGCCTTGTGTAACACAGAGCCTGTTCGAGAGCTGCGACAAGATGAGGCCGACATTGTTCCGAATGGCCAGCGACACAGTGGACGATGAGGCTGCACTTGGTAATCAACAGGCTACTTCTGTTTAGCCAGTTAAATAACGTTTGCAGTCAAACATAACTACTGGAAACTGATTCTATTTGGCTTGCATGTATGTATGTTGGATCTTTTTTTTCTTCTCCTAAGCTGAAATCCTCCAGGCTAATGACAAGCTGATACTCACCGTTAATTTGTATCATGAAGAGGTGGAAAGTACACAAGCTAACGGCACAGGAGAGCACCCCAAAAACATGACAGGTACGACAGTCTGCCAGGCTTTTGGGAGTGAGATAAACCCTCAGTGTAGTTTAACGGTAATTAACGTGATTTACATTACTTAGTCATTTTATTGAAAGGTATTTGTAAGGTAACATTGACACCATTTCCTTTGTCTGTGACAGGCGCCATAAACACCAAAGAGACAAAGACGTACCACCTCATAGACCTGTCAGCACTAGACATTGCCCAGCCTGATGACGAGCCGGCACCAGTCAGTGGACTGGGCAACAACGGCCTGTCCCTGCTAGACGAGCAGCTTCTGGAGTTAGGTGTGTGGCCCCGCCCCCTGCCCCGCCTCACTCACCTCTTCTCATCTCTATTAGTGTGTGGGGAATGGTACCGCCTTCTATCCCTCACCACATTCTCTCCTACGC